GTGGGGGGAACAGTCTTATTTCCGACAGCACGTCAAGGCAGCATCCGTCCAGCAGCGGGGTTTATGTCTCCTCCAATCAGGGCGCCGTCTCACTCAGCCTTGTCCAATGGGAATAACGCTCGTGCAGGTGGCTGCGCTGTTATCAGCGACTCCCGCTTCACTCCCGGCATAGAGCGAGTGAATTTATGAAAAGGCGAGCCGAGCCTTTTAATGGTTCCCATCAAAACCATCATCAGATCGTCCGATTTCCGCGAGGATTCCTGAGGCGGACGCATGCTGCCTCCTCCCAGCTGACAGACTCCGAGCAAAATAAACACGCGGAGAGGCGTTTTGGAGTTTTTGCCGAGCTCTTCACTCCCGAGAGAGAACTTCGCTTTCGTTCAAGTTTTTTCTAACATTTCAAGAGTCTTCCTCCGGGCCCAGGATACTTTGGAAAAGGCGGCAGAAGTGGCCAGGCTCCTGAATCCCAGCAGTCCGCTGTGCGCCTGCATTTACTCGCCTTTACTACTCCCGCTAGTTTCCTTCCAGTTTCTGTCCCAGCGAGTTTGGCGGTTCATGTTCACAGATGTTAGCGGTCGGGCAGATGGAGGCTAACCGGCAGAGTGCTTTCGTACTGGGCAGCACCCCGCTGGCGGCGTTGCACAACATGACCGAGATGAAGACGTCCCTGTTCCCGTACGCGCTGCAGCAGAGCCCGGCGGGCTTCAAGGCGCCCCCGCTGTCCAACCTCAACTCTCAGTTCTCCGGGGGGACCCCGCACGGAATAAGCGACATCCTGGGGAGACCAATTACCACCGCCGGGCAGCTGTTGTCCGGATTTCCGCGGATAAACGGCCTGGCAACTACCGCGGCCGCAGCAGCGGCGGGGATGTACTTCAGCCCGGCGGTGTCGCGGTATCCGAAGCCACTGGCCGAGCTACCGGGGCGGGCACCCATCTTCTGGCCCGGGGTGATGCAAGGCTCTCCGTGGAGGGACCCTCGGGTTCCTTGTCCTAGTAAGTCCCGTCTGAGCGTGCCTCTGGGCTGCCTTTTTTATACATATAATGAATAGTTTACATTTGGGAGAAGCCGACATTCCCCTGTGATGTTTTCTTTGGAATTCAGAGGTTATTTTGGTTAATAAGAGGCCCGTTTGGGAGAAAACAACCCCAACTTACAAGAAGTACACCTGCCCTGCGTTTCACACAATCACGACAACAAATGTAACACAGGTTTGCACGTTATGAATGCTGTGCCACAGGGTCAGTGTTGTTATACAGCCACGTCAGAGTACCAGAAAAGACACTGAGACTTCCACACAGGGCGCTGAATGAACATCACAGTGGCATTAAAACTGTAATCACGAAGAGTTGGGTCTGACACATCCAGGAGCATCACACTTACTGATCCAATGTTTGTTTGTTTTACTATCCAACTATAAATTTAATATATCTTAATATAACCACACATTTTGCATCTCTCCTCAGCTCAGGCTAACATGATGGTGGACAAGGACGGGAAGAAGAAACACTCCAGGCCGACGTTTTCAGGACAGCAAATCTTTGCACTGGAAAAAACTTTCGAGCAGACAAAATACCTGGCCGGCCCGGAGAGAGCCCGGCTGGCCTACTCTTTAGGAATGACCGAGAGTCAAGTCAAGGTAAAGACCGCTAAACCGTGCCTGCTCAGGGCTGAGAAGCATGTGGGGAATAAAATAAATAAATAAATTGAGGCTGATCTGCGCTTTGATTTCTTTAATTGGGGAAGATTCGGCTACAAGGCCGGAAAGTGTAGGGTTATTTCCACATGCTACAGCTTCATTTAAAAAAATAAAATAAAATAAATTGATGATGATGGTTATGATGATTATAATAATAATAATAATAATGGGAAATGTTTTATCCCCAGACTTTTGAAACTGACTGTGCTACAGTAACATTATTTTTATTATTATGAAAAGCAGAAGAAGCTTATTTTTATCTACATTTTAATCGGTTACTGTTTTTGTTTTATTATTTTTGATTGGACACAAATAAATTAATGGATTAAAAAGTAATTAAAAATAATTGTAGAAGCAGCTTCTTCTTCGTCTTTTATTATTGTTATTATTATTATTTATTATTAATGGGGGTTTTTATTGCTTGTTTGTTTCTCTTGTGGATAAATAACTGTTTGGACCTCCTGATTTCCTGCTTCTGTTACTGGTGCTGGACCTGTTGAGCATCTGTGTGTCTTTATTTTTTTATTTTATTTTTCTTCCCTCTCTTCTCATCAGGTTTGGTTTCAGAACAGAAGAACCAAATGGCGGAAGAGGCACGCAGCGGAAATGGCCTCTGCTAAGAAGAAGCACGACTCCGAGACGGAGAAAATGAAGGAGAGCTCTGACAACGAGGAGGACGACGAGTACAACAAACCCCTGGACCCAAATTCAGACGACGAAAAAATCACGAGACTCTTGAAAAAGCACAAGGCTACCAACCTGGCGCTGATCAGCCCCTGCAGTAACAGCTCGGACACCTTGTGATCCCCACAGCCTGGGAGGGACCCAGAAAAGGGGTCCCCACGAAGACTTGTCGCACTCTTTCCGAGCCCATCTCCACCTGACATTTCCAACATGCCTCTTAAGGGATCACCTTTATTCCCCCACCCCCCCACACACCCTCAAGCAGAGATAGAAAAATGCGTAAAACTCCCAAGCCTGCGTCCAGACGCACGGGAAAAACCGAAAAGGTGGCCAAGCGGAGACGCACATGGTTGCATCCAAACTCACCCAGACGCTGCTGTATGCGGAGCTATAACTGTGTTTCCTCCTGGACTTGAGAAAGACTGATGAGGACATGTTTATGCAGCTGAAAGGACACTGATGCTGGGAACGGAAACTGTCCTGGAGACGCAAATGAGTTTTTACGCATACAGGCAGAGTTTTAACAGGTGTAAATGTAAAGAAAATATTCTTTAAAAAAACAACCCTACTTTGGATCAGTGCTGAGCTCAAAACGTTTACACTTTAAGTCATTGCACTTGTTGCATTATTTTTACAGCTTGTCACGTTACGTCACGGTTTCAGCTCCTAATGTGACCTCTAAATGTTTTAATACATTTCGGTATTCATACGTTCATCTGAAGAGATTGCACACTTTTTAAAAATTTTGTTTTTTATTTTACACGTATTAACAGATTTTTTTTGTTTGTTTTGTTTTTGTTTATTTTAGTAGCCCACACTGATCCAGATCCCGGGCGCATGTTTTAAATGGCAGGTGCAAACGGGGCCTGTGACGCTTCTAAAGCTCAGTTTAACCAGGGTATCCACTGTCCTAAAAGGCAACAGACTAAACTGTTTGAAGGGGGCAGGTTTGAGACGAGTGACTGATTTTTGTGCTGTAGCCTGCAGATGAACATGTATGTGAGATTGTGTATATATATTTTTTACTGAGTAAGTTATGATTTGAGCAGCGGAAACGTGGCAGCATTGGGCTCATCACTCCCTCCGATACCGCTTTTTTTTTTTTTTTCTTCCTGCTGAGTAAAGTCACGTTTTATTGAACTCTACATTTCATTACAGAAACACTATTGTATAAAATGCTAAATGCTGTAAATAATGACTGTAAACAAACAAACCAAGAAAAACCACACAGCTTGTTTTTTAACATCACTTTTATTTAGTTTGACAGAGTTTCTGTTTTACCTCATCACGCAGCCGAGCAGAGAACCGGAGCATCGTTTTAAGTTGGATCTAAAGAGTATTATCGCTTCCGGAAGGTTATAGAAAGAAAAAAGTAAACCCCCTTTGTATTATGAATAAATTATTTAACAAGCTTTTTTTTCTTTTTGTTTTCTTTTTGTTTTCTTTTGGGTTTTGATTTAATGTATGGGCTTAATATAAATTAAAGAGAAATTCATGACTATCGATAAGTGAATTTCCTTATTGGCAGAAATGACACCGAAAGCGGGTTAACTGATGTTGTTATTATTAAGTTTATATATTTTATACAAGAGTGGCGCGTAAGGGAAAACGAGTCTTTTAAAATATTTAATTTTTTTTTCTTCAAAAAGTGCAATTTATGTGGGATCATCATTTATTTACTTAAAAACAATTCCCTCCATAAATTATGAAGCGTTATTATAATTATTATGATTATTACAAAAAGGTAAAACATCGATTTCTAACACATAAATGACCAACAATAAATCATCTCTTTCAATGCTGGAGGTTTTATTTTCCATCTTATAAATGGAGATTAATTAACTCTTTGTTCAATCTTTACGTTGCTCTTGGAGAGAAAGTGATCCTTAGCCTTTATTATTATTACTTTATCTCAGAAAAAGCCTAATTGCGGTTTTATACTGTTTGGTGTTCAGAGTTCTTGTATTTAATACTTGAGACTTGAAGTGCTCCCCCTCTGTCTGAAATGCGGAACTACACCCGAGGTAGTTCTATGTAGGCAAATCAATGGGAGAGTTCAGCCAATCACAAATGAGCGCTCATTAAACTCAAATCCCACCTTGGACTTTTTGATAATCCGTGCATGAAGTGAACAGCTGCCATCATAAAAGACGGATTTAAGGAAAAGTTATCCTTCTTTAAACTGAGGCCGCGGGAACAGGCTGATATTAAAAAGACCCCAAACGTTTCAAGCTTAATTATGTATTTCAATATATTTCTATATATTTGTTAAATAATAATAAAATGTAACATTTTTCTCATTTTTATACTCGGAATTGTTTAACGTGGACATTTAAATGTGTTTTAGGCCTCAGTTAAAGGCAGCGAGGACTCATACACGTGGGTCAAATTGCATTGCGTATTTCACTTGACGCAATTTTTTTTTCTTTATCTGAAAAGTTGCGTACAAAATGTATTGTTGGGCACTAGTGCGCAAAAAGTGAGACCAAATCAATAACACTGCACACGAGGTGGAAGCCCGTATTCGAATAGTTAATGTGGAGCTCTCTCTGTGTTATTAAAAAATAAGTTGTCTACCAGGAAGTAAAAACGAGAAAGAATGAGGACAGAATAGGCATTGAGCTCTAATGGGTTTTATTGCTTTTGAGAACTGCATCACCTACAGTAGAGGCCAGGCCGTCCTGAAAGGGGGCTGGAATAAAATCTCTATCTGCTTTTATAGGATGGAGTGAAGGGAAAAAATAATAACTGCAGCTTATAATCCTACAGTATACTCACAACGAGCAGCTGGAACAAAAACAAGCAGGGTTTCATTTACTTTTTTTGTTTAGTTTTTTTTTTTTTAACTTTTATAAACATTCTGTCTTATGGACCAAATCACAAAAGATGACATAAATTCTGCAGCAGGCACAAAAACAGTTCCACTTGGTGTTTGATTTAGATGGAGAAAAAATAATAATAATAAGGGAGGATCAATCTGATGGCTTCACTGAGTCTGAAACCTGTAGTGTAGTACATGAAATCGATGATGATAAAAAAAAAAAAAGAAGTCTCCCATCACCTCTAATGCTCCAATTATTTGCAAAGGAGGCTGCTGAAGGCTACATACTGAACAATTACAATTACAAGACTACCTGCTCTGCCCCACGCCCCTCCCCTGCTTTTAGAGTTTCTCTCATTTATCTTAAGTATTTCTGACACACTTCATTCCTGTTTAGGATACTTGGCACCATAATGCAGTAACAAAAATAGACAAAAAACAAAAAAAGACAGTTTACATTTTAAGGACACCCAAACCTACCTAAAATATCACATTCAGAACCATAATATTATAGAAATAAGTTAGAGTAAGAATAAGAATGACATAATGTGAGAGTGCTATATATGAAACATTATCTTTTTAAATATATATGTATGTGTATATATACATATATATATACACACACCTGCATGGTCTATGGCACTGCTTAAAACATTCTTGGATAGGCAATAAATCACTCCTCTCTTGTTGTACGGACTTATTCAAAGGTCAGCGTGGCTGTGGGAACACCGACACGGCCGCGCTGTGTCTGCGCACGCACTCCAGCATAAACATTTTGGTAAGAATTATAAATTATCTCTTTAAAAAGTACAGTATATAAAACAAGACTCAACTGATGTGTCAGGCATGGCTGTGTGTTGTGCACACAACGACAAGAACAACTCAAAAAACCAAAATGAAACAAAAGAGAAAAAAAAACAATATATATATGTATTTATATAGAAACTGTTGAAATAAACTTAGAAGTTCTATCTATTCCAACAAAGGGACCGCAAAGTTTGGTCAGAGAAGAGAACGGCACTAAAACCATCAACGAGTCTATGTTATACTGTCCGATGTACAAATAAACCTAACAATATAGATACACAACTTTTTTTTGCATTGCACTTTTCTTTTTTGTTTTTTAAAACACCTTACATACTGTATGGAAAGTAGCTTCTATACATAGAGGCATACCTAAAAATGCCAAGTACGGTGTCTAAAAGGATGTAGTAGGACTGTGTTCAATTAGAGTTTTGGCAATGAGGCTGTGGCATGGAAGAGAGTTGTCCGTCCGTCCGTCCGTCTGGTTGTCCTTTTCTCTGGGGAATGGGGGAGGGTTGCATGGCAACGATGAGGTCAGCGATGTGTATCTCGTCTGGAAGTCGGGCCCTCGGGTGGCTCGTCCAGATCTCGGCGAGTGTTTCGTGGGAAGAAACCGGGTCGGGGTTTTCGTATGGATGAGGCGTCTGGATTACTGCAACTGGTCAGCACTGCTGAAACAAAGTCTGTCTAGGTTCTTCAGTGTATGCTTGTGCAAAGTGTGTGTGCGTGTGTGTGCGCTGTGTGTGCGCTGTGTGTGCGGTGTCCTGTTTGTTTCTCGGGTGTTCTCACAGAGGCGCTTCACGGAATATGTTCTCCCCCCTTTGGCAACACTTCCCTGCGGAGGAATAAAAGAAGGGGAGAGGGACGGGGTGGGAAAAAGTTTTACTCCTCCAACACCCAAAGTGATTTTTTAATCAAACAAATCTGATGATTCTTAAAAAGGTCAAACATGAGCTGCAGCACGAGATTTTCTTAAAAAAGAGAAGCATTTTAAGCAATCTCGCGTGACTGTGATTTCTGCACCGATGCTGTTTTATTTCACAATAAAACTCCTCAAGCAGGCACGCCTGCCACTTGTGCAAAAGTCATGAAAAAAACAGTCAAGCAAATCAAAGTGAACAATAGCAACAATGGGAAGAATTGTGATAAAGAAAAAGAATGATATTTACCACGACATCACTGCACCACACAACACTTGTGCTTATTTGCATTAGGTTTACCTGCCCCCGCTGTTATTCGGAAGGACAGGAAGACAGGCTGGTGAGGGGGGGACAGAGACAAACCACGGTAAGAAAACTCCATACTTCTCTGGAAGAAGCACACCACACACACACACCCCACCCTCCTCCTCCACCCCACGAAACGACCAACCCACCCCTGTGAGCACCTCTGACATGCAGGTTAAACTCACATACCAGTCCGGGAGCATTTTGGGGCCTGTGTGCTAACTACACTGGACATTTTTTAAACATAGGCAGCTGTGACTTTAGCGGCGTTGTGTGGTTTGGAGGTAAGGGACGATGGAGTGTCTGCCGCTGTGCTCAGGTCACCTCGCACACACACAACAGCGTCCGTGTCACACCGCGTAGTGATGAAAGACCTGGTTTAAGGCGCCTCTCTTTCAGTGGAAGACCTGCTGTCTGACACTACACAGACTTCAGCCCTACAGCTGACCTTATGGGAAAAATCTTTTCCACTTTCCTACTTTCTGCAGAATTTTCCTGACAAATACAGTAATAGCTTAATAAAGTTAACAGTAGGAGAAAATTCAGGATCATTATTAGAGTTTGTTTTATTGTTCTAGTGAAATTCATGCCAGTTTTATACTTAAACTCTGCAGACTTCAGTAATAATAAGATAAGCTGTTAACTGTACAGGTTATATAAATGAACTAGGGATTGGTGATTGGGTTTCTAACACATGTAATCAAATAAAGACAAATGCAGAGATTCTATTAGACGTGACGTCAGAAAAAAGCCTCTGCAGACTGATCAGCTTCACACTTGGAGCATATTTCACTGTGACAACCCGATGAACTCAACAAACTTCAACCGAATGCTTTTATTTATTTAAGGTGATGAACCCTAAAGTTAAAGGTTTTCAGAATGATAATAATAACAGTATGTGATGCATGCTTTGCTCACTTAGGCTTCATTTACCTCTCGCACTGGATTAATTTAACTGAACTTAAATAAGTACACAATTATGACTTAACTTTCTTTCTTTCTTCCTTTTTAAAAATTAAACAAAAGCATTGTAACTCTATCATTCTCTTCTTTAAAGCATGAATTGAAAAGAAAGCTATTACTTATATATAAACAGGATTTTATCAACTAAATAGTTCAAGTTAATCAGTCACATTAACCCCAAAAAGGAAGAAAACTTCAAAATGAAAGTATTGAAGTAAAATATTTGTACAAACTGAAGTAGAATATTTTTAACACACTGGTTTTACACTGCAGACACACAGGTCACAGCTTCTCCAGAGCAGCATATTCAACACATCACAGAACAATCGCACACAGTGAGTGAGGTTGTGTTACCTTGTGGTCCCCCATGCAGACATTGGGCCCAATGTTATCATAGACTATAGACTTCTCTTCATTTTCAGGCTGCAGAGACACAAAATCAAACGTGGTGCGATCTAAATGTTGGGGTCGCACTTACACAGGACAATCACTACATGTTAGTGTCGTGGTATTGAATGAACTGGAGCAGCTTCATTAAACACAATTAGGAGGATCATGTAGCTGGTTTCAAAATAAAAGTCAGCTGGAAAAGTGAAATAGGCAACGTCTGGACAAAACAGTTTCAACAGTAAATTTCAACTGAGGAGCTTCTCTCCTACACATTAGGAAACCAGAACTAAGCTTACACCCGTCATCTAAGTTCCACGTGTGCTGGAAAAAAGGACAAAGAAAAACCTCCCTTAGAAGATGCGTGACTACAGTCCTCGGTTTCTGAAGTGCAGACAGATAAAGGAAGATTCCTCCTTCATCAGTTATTAGAAATTTGTAAAAGTTTATCAGGTCCTACAGGGGCTGTTTTACGCAATCGACACGTGATTAAAAATGTTGTGTTTGTTTAGGTGCCAGAAAAATCTTAATAATATCAGCACTGCTGTTGTTCACTAACAGAGAGACACTTAGTCATTCAGCTTGAGAAATGCTGATATTAGGGAGTGATGTGATGTTAAAAAGCCCACATTAGAATATGAATAATGCAGAGTCTGTTGGAAAAGGGACGCAATTCTGCTGTGATCCGATCAGTCGCTTTGGAGCTGGTTTTGGTTGCATGGAGGTAAATGGATCTGTTTTTGTTTTTTTAATTTACCAGCATTGGGTGGACAGAATAGAAAGCCTTGGCTAATTAAGATATGCTGCCTCCTCCAGAACCCCCAAAATATTAGAGGTGGCCCCCAGAAGGCGAGTAGGCAGGCTACCCAATGAGTTCTCCAATTGAATGGGACGTAATGAAGATAAATTTTAAATAAATGCTCGATATAACTACTAAGTAAATTAGGGGATGTTAAATAGTTTATGCTTAGTTCAGGCACAGCTATTAGTAAAATTAAGCTAATTTACAGGCACAAAAATGAATCACAGCAGGCAAAGAAAACGAAGAAAAAAACCTAATTGTAGCCCGACGTCCTTTTTCGACGTCGGACTTCTTCCTTCTGATTATAGTTACCCCGATTCTCAGAGAGCAGCGGCACTGAGCTGTGGCTGAACGCACCTCGAGCTTTGAGTTTTAACTTTAAGCTCGCGTGAAGAAAAATGAAAAGCAGGAGCAATTTACAAAGTGGACATTTGCCTCACGGCCTAATACACTCTCAGTGTAATCTAAGTGCTTATCTGAGAGAACCGTGTTTCAATATCACTGCCTGCACACAAAGAAGCCACTCGCACATAAATCCGCAGACTGGAGTATAAATCACACTTGTCTGGTTGAACTAAAGACTTTTTAAACAGCCACCAGCCCCCACTTACACACACACAGAGGTTGGTGTGTGCCACCGGTTGTGATGTGGAGAGCGGCACTGACACTTTAGAAGAAAGAGACAGAGAGCCGGAGAATGAACCATAAAGCCAAATCCAAATTAACTTCAGACCAATCCTGCAGCGGAGCCGGGTCAGCACGCCGTGTGCCTACACCTCACTACCTTTCCTAGCGGGCCACGCGCTGCCTCCTCTCTATTTGTCTGGCAGCCGGCTCCTGTGCCGCTGCCTCCTGCAGCCTGAGACACATTCATCAAACACACACTTGATAATTTACAAAGGCAGCATAAAATTGTGGATTTTCGGGCTGCATAATCTTTAGACAGATAAACAAATTACCCGGGGCCCTCCGGCAGAGAGGGAGCGCTCGCTCGGCTAAACATTCATTACCGCCGCTCCCGGAGCCGGTGCTGTGCCGCACAGCCAGCGGGCAACCTTTGGCGTGTTAGGGCTCGGCAAGCAGAAAATAACATGATGGCAAGTTAACCGACCGTGCCATGATAGATGACGCCGCACGCCGGGCTGTTTACGGGCCCATGTCTCAACAATCTGTAATGCTCGGAGCCAGAGAGTGTGCGCTCAGTGAATCATCAGCCAATCTGTGAACACACTAACTGTTCCACTCTGTCCCTGCATTACAAACAATTAACCGGTGCTTGAGGGGAAGAAAAGCAAACAGCGAACCAGCTGTTTGTGCGCGTGGATCCCCTCTTATATAATTCTGACACTTTAAGTGGGTAAAAACAAACCGCATGCTACCATATTTTAAGCCTCTGCAGTCTCTGTAATTTACAATCTATGGTAACACAGCGATGGGAGCGGGGTCCTTGTGATGCTTCAGTCAGTAAAGAATAAAGCTCAGGAAGGAATTTTCTCATTTGTTGTGGACAAAAGAAGAAAAGAAGCCAAACTTCCTGAGTAACCCCCCCACTGTGGACTGGTACTGTACAATACACTGCTGCATCTCTTTCACACACATTAACAGATGAAAGCCCGTGTGTTCCAGCGCTCAAAAGGGTCAGGCCTCTAAAGACAAAGCTGGGTTTTATTGGCTGAGATTCCAGAGGTGGCAGATTGGCTGGCGTTAATAATGGGATGGATCTGAAGCCGAACAGGGACTGGCAGGCTTCAGCTCTGCGAGTAAAAAGACAGATCTGCCGCTCAATGAGGAAGACGGGACCCACTGGAACTCCAGTGTTTGGATATATATACTGTCTGGGTGGACCCATGGCTTATCATTGCTAATTAATATTTACAGACACCTCATCCTTCCATCTGTGAAGTGCCAAAGGAGAGGAGGGGCATGCAGATCAAGGATGATGGAGTTGTAGGAGCAGAGTGAGGCATTAATAAAGACACTTGCTCTTTAGCTGAGGGGAGAGTGGTGAGGTTTGAGTAGAAATAGAGGCTCACCTTTAGCAACATGTCTCTGGCAGAGGGAGACATCAGGATTCGGTCACACCAGGCGGGGCATCTGGTATTCATGTACTGCTTCCCCTGACTGCTGTCTTCACTGTACGGATAACTGAAGAAACACACAAGCAGAATGATCTGTAAAAACGGCAAACATTCATTTATGCATATTTATAAGGTGTTTTTGATAACTGTGCCACTTTGGCATTCAAGCAACACATGCATATATTGTTTAGCATTAATGGTGCCTTGTTATGTGCACTTATGCTTGCTTCCCCTCATCACAGATGCTTCTAAACCTCACAGGTTGGATGGTCCCTCTCATCTGTAACCCGAGGTTAAATCATGCATTAGAAATGCAGTATTTTGATTGGTCTGACCACACTTTGGATGTCGTTTATATATTTTTTTACATCTTAAAGATAAAATGTCTCTAGACTGCTTTTTAAAAAAAATAGCATAACATGTATAAATTCATTGTTTTTTAAGCTTTTCTCATCTCCTGTTTCTCCCGTGCTCTATTAAAATGCATTAGTGGCATCAAATTAATAACAATAACACTTTTCCATCAAGACATGATGCGTTGCAACATTAGTTAAAACCAGGGAACATGAATGATTTGCCATCGTATTTTGCATTTGACTATATTTTATACAGGGTAACTGTGTCGTATTTTATTTTATAGAAAAGTGTTGCACAAAAAAAGCCAATAAGGAAAGCAATAAATATGATTCGTGTGAATCAACAGGGCTTGGAGGAGTAATAAATATGAGATGTTATCTCACAGACAGAGATCAAAATGTTTTCCCAAGAAAACAGGAGGTCCATTAGTATGACCAATCATCTGAGTAATCTCTTGAATCAACACACATGGATGGCTCAATCAAAGCAATCTTTCTCTGCCAACTGTAGGGCTCGTGTTTGTGTGTGTGTTTGAGCGAGAGAGAGGGGGAAATGAAAAGAAAGAATGAGCGTGGGGGAGATTCAGTTGCCCATATGTATAGCTACATCCCTACACGGTCATCAAAAACAGATTAGGTGCTGCAGCAAATGGCTAAGAGAGATTGTATCTTGGAACAGCAGGGAACAATCGCATGATTTAAGTGGCGGCAGGGCTCCGAATGGGTGGGGAGCCATTGAGCTGATACAGATTTACATTGTTGAGAATTCAATTTGCCCCTTCGGCTCATCAAACTGCTTCAGATTTACACACCACCAATCCAATTTGTTTGTCGGCGCTCATCAGGATGTAGCGCCGGGCGTACATACTGTAATACCAATCCAATTTGCTCCTTCAGTGCTATACGTGCTAACTGCATAATAGAAAATAGCCCTTCTCTGAGGATGGTGATACCCTAATGATAAAATAAACACACAGACACACACACACACCAGGCTTTCCATTCATCACACTTGCCAAGCTCTGATAGCTTAATTGGACTTTGTGCTGAGGCAGAAAACGTACCTGGTTGTGGTTTCTTTCAATGTTTGGTCATTCAAATCATCACGTGGGTTCATGCTTCTGCAGTTACAGCTGTTACCACCACTGACAGAGCTGCTAGCGTTACACCAGTTCCAATATAAATAATTTCGTTTCGACTTCACCTGATCCAAGCAGTGCATTTTGGATGGGACTACAAGTAGTGTTTTTGTTTCACTGCTATGAAAAAAGTAAATAAATAAAATATAATAATGCTGCCTGATTTTAAAGTTGCATTTGTCAAGCTGTGGTAAAACTGTCAAGAGCGCAACACAAACCAGAAATGGAGACCATCTGCCTTCAAAGTAAAAGCTGCACCTTTTTAATTAGTTACATTTTCACTTTTAATATATAACCTTCAAGTTTGTGTTGGACTTTTTAAAGTTTCATTAGTACTCAGTGGTTACTCAGCAACTATTTGCAGACATGTGGGCATCTTGCATGCAAACCACTGAAATCTGCTAGCGATCAAAGCAATCACAAGAAGGCTTTTGGTGCAGCGCTCTCTTTGCAGCCGTTCTCACTCATCAACACCCAGTAACCTCCTGCAACCCCTTGCCAACCGGCTGGGGGATACACTCTAGTGACCGGAGGTTGGCAGTAGGTCGCCAACAAGTCTCTGTATGTGACCGAGGCCTAATGAAAAAGAAACTCGAAGGGGCAAAGTAAATGAGAGCGAGTGAACACGAATCAGATAGCTCATTAATTTAAGCTACACAGGTATTGCAATGTATTGTAAAAACATTGCAATGTAGTGCAAAGTACTGGATAACTGCTGCATTGAGATACCTCTATTATCATGGACATCATGTTGCAACACTGTTGTATTATTGGTTATTCATTAACACCCTTCCACCCATTGGGGAAAAATAGAATTCATCCAGGAAACTCCAGGAATATCATAACAAAATGCGCAGTTTTAGAAAGGAGAAATAAAAACAGTGACTATGGTGTTACACAGAAGTGTGCAAAAGGGACTGATCAGGACCTTAATGTCTGTACGAAACTTAGTAAACATGCATTTTCACAATTTATGTCTGCATCAAAAGTGTGGCCCAACCGACCACTACTACCATCCTGAATGAGGTGCTGTTGCAGACCATTACATTTTAAATAACAATGACACGTGACAGAAATTCTTCAAACATAAAAAACTGGATCATAATATTAGTCATGATATGAGGATGAAGAAAGCTTGAAAACATATTGTGCTGATATAAACAGTGAAATTATCCAAATATAGAGTTTTTAGATCAAGCTGGAGGATGCTAATGATCGAGTATGTGAAAGTTGCTCCCTCCTCTTGTTGACTGTCTGGTTCAGCTATCTGTATTATTTTCCCTGTATAGTTTTTAATGGATTGTGTTTGACTGTTTTTATAGTTTATTGCTGACTGTTTACCATATGCTATAGAATTCTTTATATAGTATTTCCAACACCCGGTTCACTGACTTGATTGATTTATTGATAGCTACATTGTTCTGTTCATATTTAGTTTTGTTTCTTAACATCAGGCCAGTGAAAATACATGAAAAATGAGCGCTGTTAAGAAAGTTATTCATTAATTGGACTGCATTAGTTTTATTGGAGATTAGTCAGTGAAACATGTTTGGGGGGTTTGTTTCTCTATCATGACGGTTATATTGCAGTTATTAATTTGCCATGTGTGTCCATCATAAAATGAGGAAGGTGCACATTAACATTACACTATCCACTACAGACATGATGAAAAATGATGAAATAACATTGGTTATATTTTTTACTGTGATACATTTATTACTTTAATCAGCAGTTGTATACATTATCAGAAACAGAATACCAGCAATAGACTGACTGTTTATATGATAAAAGTGTGTTTGGGTGTCTTTGTGTAGGAGGCTAATCTTGGGGCGTGAAGTGGGCTCATCTGACACACACACACACACACACACACACACACACACACACACACACACACACACACACACACACACGGAGCTCCCCACCAGGTGTACAAACAGACCTGCAGAGAGCTACTTAAAGAAGTTCCCAGCCTCCAATTAGCATTAATAGCCCTTAAACCATAGGGGAAATGCATAGGGGTTTTGGTATGCTAATCAAAGGGCTAAAGAAGTGATCCAGGGATAAAAGAGAGCATGAAGAATAGGATGAGTGAAACAGAGATAGACAGGGAGGCAGAAGAGAGGGGATAAAGACGGATCAGTCAGAAAGAGGCAAAGTGAGGGTGGAAAAGAGCAAAGTCTTCAAAGAGATTGGAGAGCTGCTCGACTTCAGGGTGGCCTGAATGCTGCAGCTTCATGAGGGACGGCTGCCGGCCTTAAACAGCCTGTGAACAATCAGCCTATCAGGGACTCTGTTATAGCTTTATTGACTAACAAGCTTGGGGTCACTTTAGTGTTAAAGAGATTGAGAGAAAATCAAGTTTTCCCCCTTACCTCCTTCAAACAATGAACTCCCTCTTGATAGCAAACTTCCTGAGCGCTTCAACAACAAAAACTATCATTCAGTTATTTCTGACGACAGCCAGACGTTGGAAAAACTAATTAAAAATACTCCACAGTGGCCATCAAAGGGCCATTCTCTGGCCTGGTGTGAGCAGGTATTGGGCTGTTCCCCTTTCCGTTTTACCACACCCTCCACTGGCTCCAATAGAGATAACAAGTCTTAATGCAACGGCAAACAGTCGAACGGCGCGCTGGGGCCGATGTGATTAATGTGTCCGATTAGTGAGCTCACAAAGTTATCGGGGAAGGTAAACGGTCCGAGAGGGTGTGTGGGCTGGAGGACGCCAACTCATATCCCACCTTTACTGGCCCCAGCAAGACTAATTGCTCTAATTAATGAACTAAACTGATAACAACAACTGGGAAGGGGGGGTACACTTTAAGGATTCCACACATTCGCACACTAAAGATTCAAAATGAACACTGGCACTGCTTTACCAACTGTTCTTTGTGCTAATACTGTTAGACTACATATAAAATGGAAAACTGGAAAATTCATGAAGGACCTCGAGTCAGGTCAAAACTTTATTGAATGCACAATCAGCTGTTGACAGTCAGATAAAGTGGCTGACACAAACAGGATTTACTTGGCTTGGCTGCCCATCTAAACATCGGCCACTTGTGAATATTTCGAAACTCTTTTCAGAATTTTTCATCACTTCAAAGAGAACGACTTCATCTTTGATCAGTTAACTAATAAACATTCTCTAAATTCAAAGCTTCATAGTCTATGGAGCTCACATTCAGTATGCAATGACCACAGTTTGCTTGATACTGAAACAATAATAAATCGAATCAAAATAATAGATTGTGACAAAACTGAGTAATTCATTATCTTTAAACCTCTAAAAGTCCAAAAGCTATAAGGCTCACTAACTCTCCATGTTTTGGGTATATAGTGGGTTTACATGAAATGTAACAACAGTAAAATAAAAAAGATAACTTACATGACCTGATGTTGCAAGTACACTTTTTTCTAATACTGTTTTTAAGAACTACTCTCTAACCATAAGTATAGTCAAAGCTCAAATGGCCTGTCTAAGATATGCACATACTATACTATGCACACTATCAAATGTAAACACTGTCACTGAAAAAGTGAGGAAGAAAAGGTCTTTGATAGCTTCA